TACTGGTGGTATCGAAAACCTACTCGAGACGAAATCTGAATTCTTTGTCAGATTATGCTTGTCACCGCAACACAGACGATAGCTTAACCGAGGACTTGTTCGCACAATCCAACAGTCTTCATTCAGCGGCAATCCTTCTGTTTCCGTTATAATCATTTTATAAATTCATTCCAATCAACTTTTTTCTAGAAATAAAAAGTCATCTTGCAACATTTTTAGGCGTATTTTCTCCCCTTTCTTGGCTGGGCTTTGGGTTAGTTGAATGAAATAGCCGATTACAACTGCACCGTTGGATGAGGTACAAACAGAGAAGTCAGAGGCTTAAGTGCCATAATTGTATTTATACATCTTTTGTTGTTCTCGACTCGGTTGGGGTTTCGACAAGACCTTTTAACAATTTATATAAGATGAATTCACTCTATTTCGTTTAAGTTGAAACAGGACTGGTCAATGAATTGTCCCAAAATGATGTAAGTGGGCCGTATTCTTCCACTGAATTTCACATACCCTTGCTTCCCAGAAGGTATTTTCGTCCAAAGTGGAATGTAGTCATATCCGGCATGGATGAGAATTTCTTTTTGCGAAGCAAGGCCATGTAAAATGCAATTGAATTGTTGGTTCTACTCATCTGATTAGAGGAAAATTCAAATATCAGACCTAAATCAGCCTAAAAGAAATAGTATGAATAAATCTCATTTATATGATCTAGAGATAATCTCGTCAACTAACGTATAACATTAAAATCCCAACCTTTTTCCACAACTGCAGATAAGATTAGGCGAACTGTCACTCATGCATGAGTACATATCCAGGCTTTGACATTTAATGCTCGTAAGCTGGTTCAGTAATCTTCAACTATCTTTGCTCTTTCCGAGAATTCATCAATCAGATTGACATGAAAGGTCTTGAAGTTGAAGAAGCATTACGAAAAATGATGGGCAATATTCATCCCGATGTAAGTTGTCCTGTGACACCATTTCTTGTATCGGCAATATGTTAATTTTCATTTTTGATGATCATGCTCTAATGTGTATTTTTTTCACTATTCCCTGTTAATAGGGTGAGGCACAGAAAATCTCTTCACTTATCCGAACCTTCCAGGAGGCCTACATTCGTCAGAATCCGGAAAAGGCAGGTATAGAGTTTCATGATCCGGAGACAATTGAAACACTGGCCTATTCCATTTTGATGCTCCATACAGATCTCTACAACCCAAATGTAAACCGGCATGGTCGTCGCATGACGGTCGGTGACTTCATCAAGAATAATCAGGAAATCGACGGAGGAAGGGACCTCCCAAACGAATGGTTGGTGAGCATCTACTCGCGCATTGAAGCTGAAGAGTTCAAGACTCTGCCTGATCTGACAGATAAATTGCGCTACATTGACCGCCTCCTCAAAGGACCGCTCAAGCCAGAAACATTCGTCCAAAGATACAGAAGGCTCATCGGTTGGACATTTGCGCAAGAGGTGAGCGGAGAGCTTCTTATCTCCAAGAGATCAATAGAGTTGAGTGTAATCTATGCTGATAGTAAAGTGTATATAAAATTATCTAGGGACTATGCTTTTTATATTTTACATATTTATGCTGACTTAGACAAAAACACATATACTACTACTTTTATTGTTAGTAGTATTATAGGCATATTAGTAAATTTTGCTGTATTAGCCCGACGATAACATAATTGCTGGTAAGAAAAGGTAAATTAGCCTCCGAACAGACGTTTATTAAGATTTCAGATGATGCGACATGTTTGTTAACTGTCCAACCCTGATCCATCCATTTTATATACAGCGACTCTACCAAGTCTTCCTTAGTACTGGATCTGTCTGCATTAAGTCATTCATTTTGACTATACAGGTCAGTGTTGGGTGTTACCTGTTAAATCATGATTTGTATCCTTAATTCGTGTACTAAAATCACAATGCTAATACCAAATTTATTCTTCAGCTATGACGAATCTTTATGAT